AAAAAAAAGAAAGGAGGTGTGACTGTGGGACAGAATGTTTCCTACCCCTATTGAAACTGATGCTGATCTAATAATTTAAATGTTAACTTGCAACTTGGCACAACTTTTACAACATCAAATAGGTCGTATGTTTGGAACACTTGATTTTTTAATTAATTCAGGAAGCAGTGCACACTACAATTTGGCTGTTCAGTTTGCTGCACCAGAAATATATTAACCACTCCCTTATTCCTTCTTAGCTTTTCTTTCCTTTGCCTTGTTTGGCACGGCTCCATCATGTAAGCCAGGGATGACCAAAATCCTTTGCACATGTGATTTCAGTCAGAGAACCAGAACTTTAGTCAGATGGGACAGCGCCATTCTCGTGAGATGAAAAAGTGAAATCAAAGCCTGGTGATTCTGGTAGGTAACTGCATACAAGTATAGGCAACAGAGCCATTTGTTTCTTTTTAGGAGATTGTAAATATAGCACGTTTGTGGTCAATTTAACCGTGCTATTGGTTTAAATTTAGAACTTTGGTTTTTAATTCTATCTAAATTGTAATAATATCTCATTGGTTGAAATTATTATCTGTCAACTGAACTCAGTTAGGCTTTACCTCTGAGCATGTGTAAGACTGAACAGTTCAACAACTGTTACTATAATTAAAATATCTTTTTGTCAATGTTCATTGCTGTGTATACTGTATGTGAACAAAGTGCAACAATATGTGATATAAAGGTAACTAATCTGAGGTGTTGTGGCAGACATTTTCTTCAAGTATATTTTACATCACAAAATAGAGATAGACAGACAGACAGGCAGGCAGTAGGGGAGTCTAAAGGGAATACTGCATTAATGAAAGTCAAGAGCAGTCAGTGCAATAGGAAACTGAAGGAAAAAAGTTGCTTCAACATCTGGATAATTTTTACTTTCTGGTTAAATTAAGCAATTTTTTTCCCAACCTGATGGCCTCCAGACATGTTGAATTATCACCCCCATCCTGCACAATTATATTGACTGAGAAGAGATAGGGGTTATAGTCTACAGTCTGCAATACACCAGGCTGAGGAAATCTGGCCTAGACTGATGCTTTCCATCCCCAGAGTTATCAGTCAGCTAGTAAATCCTGGTTTTTCCAAGTTGTGGAAATTTTTAAAAAGGCTCTGATATGCTCTTCAAGATGTATATTACTTAAAGGGTAAGCACTGAATTGTTTATTCAATTTAATGATTAATCCAGCTGTGTCCAAGGTTCAGCTACATCCAAAATGAAGAATTGAGGAAACCCATCTGGCAGAATCGAATGAAGTTCCCTCAGGAACTTCCAGGTAGAGTTGCCCTAGGCAAAATGTGTGTCCAAAATGTTATATCTCACTCCTCACAAGCAGCTGTATTTCTAATTTGCTTCTGTAGACTCCCAAATCTCTGATTGTACATTCCGAGGGAGTTTGTACTTCTTCAAATTACAGGACATACCGCTGGCTTTGAAGAGCGACTCATTCTCCAAATGCCACTATACCAAGCCAGGACATGCCCACACTAATTTCCTTTGCAATAATGCCCATCTACCAGCTGTTGTCTCTTGGGCATGAAGTGAAGGGGAATTAAAAGGCATGAATTGTCCTCTGCTGGTGAAAACTGGAAATTGGTCTGAAGGCCTTTATCTTAGCATTTGCAACTTGGAATGCAGTGTTTCCTCCTAAGCAGCCATTTCTCTTTCATGACAGTGGCTTTCTCTTTTTAAGACTTGGGTTAGGTCAAAACCAGCCCAAATTAAAAGCCCCTAAGCCTTTTCAATTGATACCAAACCTCTGAGCAAACACCCAAAGGATGTTCCCTAGCTCCTTGAATAGTCCACGAGAACTATTCTTGCATGCCCTGGTCAGGAGAGAACTTTTAATGGGGAATAAGCGTGCCCTATTGGGAGAAGTACTGTAATGCTTCTTGTCATGTTAAGATGCATCTACTAGGTTGAAGCCTCAGTCAGCCATTGAGTAATGGCTCAAAAAGACTTCATGGTTCCCATTGTCTCTCTCAGGTGGGGTCCTGCCAAAGCTGAATCAATTAAAGGTTATTTGATAGCAGTAGGAGAAACATTTTAGAAGTTTGAGAGAAACCAGTTAAGCTATTTAGAACGCACTGGATTTAGGAATTGTAGTGGTACACTGATGCTTAATATGCATTTCCTGAACTTTTTCATTTGGAGCAAAACGTTGTGAATTTCAGTCCAAAGTTCTTCAGGTACTCTACCTATCATATTTAATCCATTAAATTGATTCTTTATCTTCACTGCATAACTGAATATCACTGAGGCCATATTCATCTGATTTTTTTTTTCCTTTTAAGTTGTAATTTTGTGAGATGGAGTCTCTAATCTGAGCCAAACTCAGCATCTGCTTTTGCTGATTGAATAGAGATCTTTCTTCTTTTCTTGCAGAGTATATAATCAATTTTATTTCATTGGTTTCCATCCAGTGATGTGTAAGTCTGTCCATCTTTTAGGCTGTTGAAAGAAGCTATTTGCTATTTAAATTCCCTCATCAGAACTCTATTAAATATATCTCCAGCTTCATTTTGTGCACCAAAGCCAAACTTTCCCATTATTCCAGATGTTATTTTAGTTCCACTTTAAACATTCCACTCTTCTATAATCAACATAACATCTTTTTTGGTGTGTTGACGAGATGTGGCAAGTTGCATAGAACCTTTTGACTTCTGTTTCCCCTGCATCTGTAGTAAAAGCATAGATATAGAACATTCAGGTTATGTAGCAATTGCTCCCATTCCTGGACTGGGGGCCCTGCTCTCAGTCACTCACGCCCTTGTGAGCTTGAAGCTGGACTGCTGCAATGCACTCTCCATGGGGCTGCCCTTGAAGAGTACTTGGAAGCTTCAGCGGGTGCAGAATGCTGCATTGGCTTCAACTGTGCTTCCAGGTGCAATTGAAGGTGCTGGTAGCCACCTTTAAAGCCCTTCATAGCTTGGAACAGGGTTATTTACAGGACCATCTCTTCCCGGTTGTTTCTACCTGTGCTACCTGATCTGGCAGGAGGGGCATGCTCCAGGTACCATTGGCTAAGTAGTATCAGTTGGTGGGGTCCAGAAGAGAGCCTTTTCTGCCGTGGCACTCACCTTTGGAACATCATACCTCTGGAGATCAGGTTAGCCCAACCCTGCTGGCCTTTCACAAGGCCTTGAAAACTTGGTTTTGTGCCCAAGCCTGGGGCCCCAGGTATGGAATGGAGCCTGTCTCCTGGCTATGTTAATGGTAGTTTTTATGATTCCCAGCTGTGTGTTTTATTTTTTGTATTATATGTGTTTTTATCTATTTTATTGTAAGCCACCCAGAGTCACATCTGTGATATAAATCAATTAAATAAATAAATTAATAGACTTGAATATAATATTGGCTTCCTTGTGATTCAAACTGAGATAATTCTATCACTTGGGGGAATTGTATCCAAGCTCAGAATCTGACACTCTTTTGTTAATAATGATGGCTGTTTCATTTCTTATACAATTTTCTTGTTGTCAGTAAAAGTTCTGATGCTCCTTTAAATGTGAAGTGATCCACTCCAGTCCATTTCTGTTCACTGTTTCCCAGAACATCAGTGTTCAGTCTTGACATGCCTGCTCTGACATCCAATTTGCCTTGGTACATGGTTTTAATGTTTCACATATCAATAGTGTACATACTGTATCTTTGCAGCATCAAGATTTTCTTTTACCTCTCACCATATTAGCATTTGTACTACTCATACTTGCCATCTGCTCTTCCTTGATGATACTTAACCTTATACTGATGGATGGCCTCACTTAGCTTCATATAGATGTTAAATAAAAGCTAAGCTAAGATGTATGTGTCTGTGGGAATGCTTTCAAGTCGGTCTTGCTTTTTTCACCAGTGCAAAATGGTGGATATCTGTTTACTGTTGAAATTCAGTAGATTTTATGGAGGGTGCAGAAAATGGTGTTGGGGACCAGGGATTGCTCATTTTAACTACAGATATTTATATAAATTCAACTTATAGTTCAAATAGTACACTAAAATGCTAAATTTCCAATTCTCATCAGTGAATATTCTTAATTTTGAAACCTAAGCTTTGTGGCTCTTTACATGCATGAAATGATCTTGCTAATAATGATGGATCAATAGCTCAGATGCTGGAAGTTTTAATTATAATTCACTTTTGTTTACCATACTGGAATTTCAATTTTCCACCGTCAGGGAAACCTTTCCACATTAAGCCTTTCGTCACAGAATCTATTTCTGCCGTGTTCTTACAAACACTTTATTTTTAACTTCGACTCTTTTTCAATATGAGGAATATTCTTGAAGAAAGAGTAATGCATTCCTTATCATCCGAAGGTTTTTCAGCCCGCATCTCTGACCCTCTGCAGCAGAATATTTTGTCCTCGTTTTGATGCCACAGGTTAGACCGGGAAGTGAAAACCCCAAAACTTCCCGGAAGGTAAGAGCAAACCAGTTCCGTATGGTTGCCAAGAAAACCATATGGAGTCGACCGCGAAGTTACCGGCGTCGAGCTCGACTCGAAAGAACTGCGCGTTACCTCTGCTCAAACCCTCTGAGGCACATCTAATATAAAGGCGACGCGAGTGAGGGAAAGCACATTCTCCGACACCTCTTATTCCACAGCAGCCTCCTCCCGCCCGATGCCCTTCAGTGGCGTTGGACTACAACTCCCATTATCCTATTCTGCTCTGATCAGTCCAGGGTAAAGGCAAACGCTAGCAAGCTCCGCCGAGTGCTAGAAGACCTACTCCCGAGTAAGACACGCAGCCCCAGGAGGGAGCGTGGCCCGCCCCGTAATCTGCCCGCGGTAACTAGCACTTGACCCCGGGGCCGCGACAGGGAGGACGGCGCGCGAGAAGGGGCTGCTGAAAATGAATGGAATAAAAAGAGGATTCGGAGCAGACCGGACTGGCAATGACGTTACAAAGCGTAACTTCGAAGGTTCCCCTTGACCCGGAAGTGGAAAGGGGAGGGAGCTGTTTCACGAGGCGGGCGGAAGGCGGAAGTGAAGGCTTGCCGAGAGGGAGCGAGGGGGCAGCCAGATGGAGGAAGAGGAGTGGCGGCAGTACCCCCCTTCTCGTTGCTAGGTAATAGGGCCAGGTAAGGTCCCCTCTCTCCTCCTTCCTAGTGGCTCTTGTACCCCTGGTTGGAAGATCCCCGTTCACTCTCCCCACCCTCCCCCGCCACCCCAGTATGGAGCAGCTCCCACTTGTTTCCTTTCCCCACTCCAGCCCTAAAAGTGGTTCTCGGGGCTCTGTTTTCGCGTTTGGGATTTTAGGAGGGTTAATATTGGTGTGACGAGTTGATAATGGAACAACCTTCCAGCCAGTGAAAATGATGGGGGAAAGTGGTCTGTTGTGTTCAAGGTATAATCTGTTTTTCACTCTCTTTGGTTTATCTTGCAGGAAAGGGGGATGGCGATGGCTATAACATAATCTTCATCAAAGCCACAATAATTCCAGAACACAAGCACCATGGAACACCTCAGGTCTGGGACTGGAGCTTTGTGTAAACCCCAGCCAGATTTTCCTGATTTGGGCAAGACTGTTTTGAGCCCTTGCAGCCTTTGTGATGCAGGATGCAGGAAGCAAAATGTTAACTGTTGGCCAGAGTTCCCCAAAGTATTGCAGTTGCAAAGCCTCTCCTGGCCAAGAAAAGCTATTGAGTCTTCGGAAGGCTGAGATTTTTAGTTGTGAAAAAGGTGCTATGGAGACAAAAATGCTTTGGAATGGCAGTTGTGATCGCGATAATGGCAGCTTGCACTTTACTGATTATAAAACTCCCAGTAATGAAACTGGTTCTTGTAACTGTCAGAGAGAGGTCTCTGATCTCTCTGCAGCTTATTCAGAGGAAGAGAATGACTTATGTGGCTTTAGTTGCCAGCAATGGCCTTCAGGATTCAAGGAGAAGGACACATCTACGCTGCTGTTAGGCCAAGAAGTAGACATTGAAGATGGCCTGGCTACAAAAGCCAAGGAAGAATTCCCTGATTGCACTCGGGCTCCTGGTGGAAGAAAAGTTGCCCGGCAACAAAGACAACGCTCTGCTCCTAAAGACAAAGGAGAAGGTCATTTTGTACCCTCTGTGGGGAAACACAGACAGACTAGGAAGAGAAGTGATGGTGGGCGTCATCATGTCCAAACTGAGTTGCTGAAGCATCTGGAAGGTTTGGCTTCGTTCTGTGTTTCCTGCTTCAGACTGTTTATCAGCGTAATTGTACAGGTCACCCTCCGGTGTGGCGAGGGTGTGGAAGCTGGTGGGAAGCTCTTGTACTCTTGCTGCTCCTTCAGCCTGCATGATTTAAACACCATTCAAACTGACATGCAGACTTGGATACAGCGTGGAAGGATAGGGTGCAGAAAATTGACACGACAGCTAGCCTTATGGTTGTCACTAACTTACCGCCTGCTTAAGATGCTCTGTGCTATTCTCTTCCTAGTGCTTATGCTTCTCCTGGGTAGTATAAGACTCTGCTGGAAGGTTTCCAAATCAGTCCTACTCAATATTCTGAGTAGAATGACTCATACTAGTCATGGAGCCTGGCTTCTCTCAGCTATTGATTTCCCTCAAATTTGGGCCTTCTTCAGAGAATGCAGGATTTGCAAATGGATGGCAAGTTTACTGCTTAAGTGGCATGCTCTCCTTTGGATGCCCAAAGGATTAAGGACCACCCAGTCAGGGAGCACTGCTGATAATGAATCTCCGGGTGGATCTGGGCCATTCCAGCCTGGTGAAGAGGTGACTCGTTTGCTGGCTATGGCACATACCCCTGAAGAAGAACTCAATCCTTTTCAGGTGTTGGGCTTAGAAGCAACAGCTTCAGATGTCGAATTGAAGAGAGCCTATCGGCACTTGGCAGTACTGGTGAGCATGTCCTTTGAACCAGAAAGGTTGACCGGTGACTTGAAGTGTGAGTGTCTTTAATGAGAGAGCCTCTCTTTAAAAGAGGTGCCACTCGTTTGCCCTCTCTCCTTGTATTAACAAATGTTTGTGACAAGAATACAGCTCTGCCTCCTCCAAGGATTGAGAATATTGGTGGGATTGTTAAGGGCAGTGGTCCGAGAGGGCCCCTTTCTTGTCTAGTTGACATGGTCCAGCATGTGCAGTGTGGAGCGGAGAGGTCTGGAATGTCTTTCAGCGTGTCTAATCTGTACAATTTAGCAATCTTCTGTCTCATGTATGATCACTTGCATATTGACTTATAGCTATTGCACTACTTGAGGGAATAAACCTTTGTTAATTTCAACAAGTGAAGGGATTAACAAATATAATCACTTATGGCAGCAAGATTGATCAAGATACTGTGACAAATAGTTTTTCTCCTGGTTTGTCTTCTTGGATATCAAGGGAACAGGCTGTATGGAAACTTGGTTGAAACTGTGTTATCTTCATGTCTGAAAGTGCTGAGAATTGAAGTTCATTTCTCTGCCTGTAAAATTCCAGCCTGAGTCTTCAAGGTGTACTGAATGAAAATCACATTTTTGTTTTTCTTCATCTCTCCCAGCATGAAGAAAGAGAAGGGTAAATGAGCTGCTATAGTACACCACAGAGAATTGCAGACTCTGCCTCTGGAATTTGCTAACTTTTCCCATTCCCTAGCTGAAAAACTATTTTTGATAAAAAGTTGTCATATTTTGTTGCTTGGGGAGAGCTTAATTTACAAGAAACCTTTCCTTTCTATTTGAACTTCTGAACAGAAACATACCCATATAATGAATGTTCTGTAGACAAACCATACTTGTTTTGTTTTGGCTTTGTGATCTGTATGTGATATGAGAGTGAGAGTACTGGTCTTACTTTGCAGGATGACTTGTTAGGGTTATTGACAATATACATAACACATTTTTCTCAAATGCTTTTAAAATATGAACACCAGAAAAGGGGCATGTCTGACTTCTTTGGGGTTTTGGGATGGGTGTTACACAGGTTCACCCAGACAAGAATGAGCATCCACAAGCAGAGGAGGCATTCAAGGTACTGCGGGCAGCTTGGGATATTGTCAGCAATCCAGAAAAGAGGAAGGAGTATGAAATGTGAGTGAGCTGAAACCCATTTGGGGTTCTTTAACTTCCAGTGAGAACTACATAGGGTACATGAAGTTTTATCTGTGGACTGGGACAAGGTGGAGGGGCCAGTTTTCAATGTGAGTCCTCTGTGTAAGAGGACAGAGAATAATTGTATAGTACCTGAAAACATGAGCATCAACATTGTCAGGTGGCAACATTTACTGCAATTCTGGCTGCTTTTAGTTACTTCCCTGAGCCTTGTGTCTACAATGGAAACACTCCTTATAGTCCCTGAAAATATATTTCCCACAAACATGTAATCTGGTACATACCATCCAGGCAAGCCTAACTGAGTGCTCCTGTGAAAGTTTTTTGAGCTTGAGTGCCTTTGGTGTGTTCCGTTACTATGCATTCAAGAGCGCATAGATTCACAACTTGATAAAACTCAGTAGGCAATGTGAGGGTTGAAAAGGAGCTTATCCTTTTCAGTGGTCTTTGTTTCACCTCTCCATTTGAACTCATTTTAATTGGAAGTAAAAGCTAAGATTCTGGTAGTGTCTCTTTCTCCCCGTAGAAAGTCTGTTATGATTATTATTCCCTTGCTTGTGTGAATAAAATGTATCTGAACCATAGAAGAAAGGTATTACAAAATGATAACAGGGTACTAGAAGTTATAGGATCCGAATTATCTTCTTAGTGTAAAAGCTTTCTAGGAATGAAGACCCAGGAGATAAGAGAGCTCACAAATTCAGAGATCAGATGCTAGATATTATTGTTCTACCTTGACTCTCAGCATTAATAAATGACTTTTGTAATATGTCACCCTGACTTTTAAAACTTCTTTATAGAGAGCCATCATGATTTGGTTGAATTAATTGTGATTTATTTTTTTTAAGGAGTCTATATGGGCCTACAGATTTAAAATATTTTAAAAATAATGTTCACAAAATACTTGTAAATATCCACTTAGAGGTAATTTCCTCTTGTGCGAGAAAGAGGAATGTCTCTTTTAACATGATACACGGGAGTCAGAATAGCACCAGAGAAGGTCAGAGGAGGATTCCTGGGGATGCGTTTGATTCTGCATACAGAACTGATGTCCTACAGCTCAAAACTAATCATAAGCTGAAGTCTCCTTCGAGTTAAGCTTGATTCCTCATGACCATCGATACACCATGTAGTTTCCATGGCCCAAGTACAGAAGTGTGCCATTGCTATGGATGTTTTTCAGTTTTCCAGTTTAGCCTATATTCTTGGTACTCCTTGGTGGTCTCCTGTCCAAGGAATAATTAAGCCCAGACAATGTCAGCTAAGTACTATTTGGAAATTACTTTTGGCCATCTCTGGGTCATACAAGGGTTTTGTTCCAGGAACTCTTGCATAAGTCAGTTTTTCTGCACATCCAAGTGTGTAGTGCATGGATGTACAAAAAGTTCTGCTGTTGTTTTTGGACTCCCTGTTTGAGGTCAGGCTAATGTAAAACAGGGCTTGTGTAACCTAGAGACTTCCTGTATGTTGAAATGGTTTTGATTTCCAGTACGTGTGCGCACTGCTACAGCTATAATCAAGCTTTGTGTAACTGATACTTGCTTTTAAATTCACTTATTTTTGTTTCAGAAAGCGCATGGCAGAAACAGAGCTGACTAAGTCAATGAATGAGTTCCTTTCCAAGCTTCAGGATGACCTGAAGGAAGTCATGAACACAATGAAGTGTAACAAGTGCCAAGGGAAGCACAAGTAAGTGGCCAGCTGTCATTAGCTCTTCCCTGGTCCAACATGATGTCAGCCAGAGTACACAAGCAGCAGAGTCTCTGCTCATGCTGCGCTTTCTCTAATTGGTGTGGGGGAGAGGCTACCATCAAGTCTGATTCCTTCTGAGGGTGGTGACGGCACCAGAGCATCAGTTCCCTTCAAGGTCTCTTGGCAGTAGTGTGGAATGTCTTTCCCTGGGCAGGGCTACATCAGCTGTTTGTAGTCTAGCCTTTACCTGAGGTGTCAAAGCCACATGGACCCCTTAGCCCAGAAAAAATGGCGTACCCCTGCTTTACCCTCAGGGCCAAGGCTTGGTGCACTCCTGCAGCAGGCAGCTGGAGGCTCTGTAGATGTTTTAGGACTGACTCCGTCAGCCTCCATAAGCTTAGCTAGTATTGTGAAAGTTTGATTAAAGCTTCTGGAGAGCACCAGAGTGCCTGCTTCAGATGAAAGGTTGCTCCACAAGCAGAGAATTGAATAGCCTGAGACATGAAGTTTTCCTTTGTTTGTTTTAAAAAATACAGGCACTAGCTGGATAAGTTAATGGCCAGAAGTCTATTATGTACTTATGATAGAATACAGATTTGATATGTAGACAAATAAATAAGTTAAGAATTGGAAAGTGTTTGATTATCAGTACCCAGCTGTTATACACTGCAAGTGTTCAATTATAGCTCAGCTATTTATCAATTTAGCTGGCCATATAATCTTAATTTCCATATTTTAATTTCTTTTCCCAGTGGTCCTACATCTATTACTAAAATATTGGAATTAGAGAAACTTCAGTGTTTATAAATTGAGCATAGAATGTTTTATTTCTTTGTGGTCTATGTCTATGTTATCTGCATTCCTCCTAAAATTTTTATATTTATTTATATATATTTTATATTTATACAAACACACATATACATACATACTTACATAAGAAACCATGGGATGCTGTAATGAGCGTACTTGTTACTTTCTGACCTCTGAACTTCTTTGCTGCAGGAGGTTTGAGATGGATCGTGACCCCTTATATGCACGCTACTGTGCAGAATGTAACAAACTTCATGCAGCTGAGGAAGGTGACTTCTGGGCGGAATCCAGCATGCTAGGATTGAAGATCACGTACTTTGCCATGATGGATGGAAAGGTTTATGACATCACAGGTAATTGTATTCCATTCTGGACAATGGGAAATGGAAGCACAAAGTGAAGTGTTAAATTAGGTTCTTGGTCTTATTTTGCCTAGTAGTCCTTTGTGTGTGTATATACAAATATAAGTATTTATCTTACTTGTAAGTATTTATCTTGTAATATCTTACTTGTAAGTATTTATCTTACTTGTAAGATAAATTGGGGTAACTCCACATTTGTGCAGAATGTGGATAGCATGCATATACGTATGTGTTTTTTCTAGCAACCACATCCATGCATCTGGTAGTAATGATCCAATTCAGAATTTACAGATCCATGATAGAGGAGAATGTCATCTGTTTTTTCGTTAGGAAACCTAGCCTAGCTTCTAAACAAAAATTGGATTTAACTTTTGTTTCAGATGTGGAATAGGCTTAAATATGACCTATGATCTAAAGTTCAGGTCTAATGCACAATGCATCTTAAGAATTTTGCTTTCAACTCAGCTTTAAACAGTACACACTGAAGCATTAAAGAGACGCTTCTGTGAGAAGAAGAGAGATAATAAGTTGATGAAGGAGATCTTGCCCCAGTGATGATGCATGAAAATAATAAACTAAGTAGATAAGGAAGTTAAGCACCCATCAAAGTTTAGTAGTAAAGTAGTTAACCCTTTCATCCTGATTGTAAACAATTTAGTAAAGAAAACTAAGTCAGTAAAAAAAAACTGGGCTTATATAGAAAGCCAACGGGATTAAGAGATATGTACTATATTATACGGATTGTTACATATACTCATGGGTGTATGTTTAGAACATTTAACTTCATGAACTTGTGAAACAATTGTGTTCATTAGAGAGGTCAGGATGACTGACTTGGAAAAGCTGAGAGAGGTTGGTCTCCATTTCTGATATGTGCTATTACAGGGAAACAGGATGCTACTCCACAGAGGAGGAAAATAATTCTTTAAAGGGAGCCCATTCCTGTGATGGGGAAATGAGCGTTCTTTCCCTTATTCTGAGAATATACTGGGCATTGATTATAGTTTTTTTTTATCGCTAGAGTCGTAGATGCCTGAGTTGGAGATCATTGTGTAAAGCGCATGATAACATGCTTGCTTGGCGTAAAGGTTGCAGATACTGTGCATTATCTAGATCAGGAAGGGGATCCCTTACTATGGGCCATTCTGGATTGGGCTACTGGGAGTTATAATTCGGTAACATCTTGAAAGCTACATGATGTAGATAGCTGGTAGTTCAGGCAGTTTGTGACCCATAGGTCTCATATGCCTCCATTCGCAGTTCCCATTTTGCAGCTCTGGAGCAATCCCAGATTTTCAGCTGCACTATTTTAATTTTTTTTTCCCTTAAAATAGCAGGTCAAAGTACTACATCTATTTTTGCCAATTAACACCCCTCCACCTCCCTGAAAATGCACACAAAAAAGGGCCAAAAAAATATAGCCTCATCTGTTAGTGACATCATGGGGCATATGCTGCATTTTCCAGAGACCATTTTTTTAAAGTGTAACTCCAGCTGAAAAAAGTGTCCTCTCTTGAGGTAGATATTGCTGGAGTAGAATCAGTGGCTGTAGTCTATATCCTCACAAATGATGTATGGTAATGTAATCATGAGCTGTGGAAGCCAAATTTTAGGTTGCCCCAATCTCCATAGTAGCTTTACCTGAAAGGTTACTTGTTCCATACTCAGGGCCAGTCAAGTTAATGAAACCAGAGGGTCATAGTGAATTGTGCATAGGATAGTGGGATAGAGAGAAGATGAGATTGATTAAGCGCTGAAGAATGCTTTGGGACAAACTGGGCCTGTAAAAAAGGCACAAGCTGCACTTGAACAGAATGGACACAAATAGCTGGTGCCGACGGTAGAGTAGTTTTTATACTCATTCTTGGAAGAAAAGATTACTCGTCCCTGGGAATGAGTAGGGAAGAGTTTCACAGTTCTGAGGGGAACAAGAAAGGAAAGGCTACAATAGGGTGTGATAATCACCAGAAAAAGAAAACAGTGCCCCACCAAGAGAGACATACACATCTGCGACACAAACACTGTGTCATTGTTTGAAGCTTCTGAGTCAAGGTGATGAATTTGGAGTGCTTCTTTTTAAAGGAGAATATGTGTTTGTGTATATTTCATCTAACCGAGGGGGCATAATGGAAACCTGTTGGACAGAGAGACAGACATAGTCCTCCTTGGATGCGAACTATAGGAAGGCTGAGACAGTGTTGCACTGCCCATCCAAAGGATATGATTTCAAATTCGAAACATCAAAAGGATCTGCAAAGAACTCCACAGAATTGCTGTGGAGACAATAAAGAAACAACAGAACTTTGGTGTAAAAAACTTTCATGCAGGTAGGAGCTTAGGTGGGGATAATTGATCAGAAAAGGGATGTTGGGTTATAATGGGATAGCTTGATAAAAATATCAAGCCTGTATGTGGCTGCTGTGAAAAAGGCAAATATTATACTTTGGGGATCAGAAATAAAATGAGCAGTATCTTTCTGCCTTCATACAAATCTGTGGTGCAGTTACACTCACAATAGCATGTACTGCTATATGTCAAGTAATGCCTAGGTTTAACCTGTGAACTTTGCTTCCAGAGATGTGATGGCTACCAACATGGAGGCTTTCGAAGGAGTGAAGTGAACTTTAATAGAAGAGTGTCATTGGGAGGAGATGGAAAGAGAAGGAGTGTGGTCACCAGGGAGATGAGAGAAAATTGCAGGGAGAGAGGAGCTACATTCAAGAGTGTGGGCAGCTGGGAGGAAAAGTGATGTGAGGTTGAGAAACTGGGGACTATAGCTTTTATTTCACTTTGAGTTTAATTCTGCAGCTGTTTTCTGTTTCCCTGTCCACCCAAAAATATTTTGATCCCACCAACAGCAACACATATCCAACTGAAGTTTTTGAGAAATAGCCAAGACAGAAGTGTTTATTTAGATAGAACCCACATCGGCAGGATTTAAAAATGGTCTTAGGAAATAGTCTCTTTCAAAGAGGATTAAGTGAATGGATGGAAGTTGAGGCTGGGTGAGCTTCTCCCTGTCATCTGATTGGCCCCTGTGGGAACAGAATGGTGAAGTAGATGGGGCTGTTCTTTTTCCCATTTAAACACCCATAAAACTTATGCTATGAAAAAAAAGTAGAAGTTGCATCATTTTCTCTTCTTAGAATGGAATCCTATTTTTAATATCAGAACTGGATATTAAAATTAGCACTTAAGAGTGCCATGTGATTGATAAATCACCCTACTGCAGAGGCTGAAAAGTGCTGTCTAGGAAGAAACATCAGATTTTTCAGGACATTCCTGTTTGTCTTGTGAGGCAGATCTGGGTCAGGAACTGATAGCTGATTTTTTTTTTTCTGATGTACAGAATGGGCTGGCTGCCAGCGAGTGGGAATCTCTCCAGATACGCACCGAGTTCCATATCACATTTCTTTTGGATCAAGAGGTTCTGGAGGACGCCAGAGGTTAGTGTGGAATGATGTTGTTGGTTTCTCCTTAAGAAATGTTTAGTTCTGTTTTCTAAGCGAGATGGGCCCTTGCTGAGAACTGAAATCCAGGGGTTTATGTATCTTGTGTAAGTTGACTCACATTCAATTTGTGGAGAGTTCTGTTTGGTCTGATTTTTCTATTTGTATGAGAGTGCTAGGCACACATCACCATACAGTCCACAGGTTTGCAATGGTAGTTGTGTTAAACACAAACACGCATCCACATACATTGATGTGATGGAATGGTTTGGTGAAAGCTGCGCTTGGGGAGATAAGCATTTTCTTAGCCCCCAGCAGGAGCGTGGGAAGATTAAGAGGATAAGACTGGTATCACCCTAAGGAATTCGCAGTGTTTGCTTGTTGACTTGGGAAGTTTAGATTCAGTCTAGCAAGATTCTGTCTTGTGGGTGAAAGCTAATAAAAGCTATTGAACTAGACCTGTACTGTCTCGTGGAGTTCTTTGGGCTGAACCTGACAATTGATCAGTTGTTAACTCTAAGCTTTTGTCTGACATAAACTTGTGCCTTTGTTTTTCCTGGGGCTCACTTTCCTCCTATTTTAAGAGAGTCAGAACAGGAGAATTTTCACTGCAGAGGCCAGATTCTACCATGTCTCTGCATACTTATGCATGAGCAGCCTTGTATACTTTTCCAGTACATGTAAACTCAGTTTCCTGGGACTTAAAGCAGTACACTGAGAAGAGTGTGGAATACTCCTGTGTCTGGTAGAATTGTAAAGATGAGAGAAACCATGTTTTAGTATTCTTGACATAAAGGGATTCTGAAAATAGATTCCTTTTCTTCCCAGGATGAATAGGGTTCTTCAACAGTTGCAAATTCTGAAGCTTGCCTTCCACTACATATTTTAGCATAAAGCCGAACATATATTTCTGCTGTAATTACTGCTGGATCTGATGATGTAATTGTTCTCCCCGTCTGTTCTTCCTCCCCCACCCCAAAAAAGAGCTGCTTCAGACAGTAGCCCTGCTTCTGCTGCAGAACTACAGGACTTCTTCAACCGTATCTTCCAAGGGAATCCTGGGCAGATGCCAAACGGGAACTTTTTCAGCACATCCCAGCCACCAGCCACTGGGAATGTGCCGACACCTCCTGCCTCTTCTTCAAAAGTAGACAGTACCTTCCAGAAGGGCGATTCAAAGCAGAAACGGCGGAAAAAAGTGCGACGCCCTTTTCAGCGCTAAGGACCTGACTGGGAGTGAAATCTCCCTGGCTTTTCATCAGGTAGCAAAAGGGCTGTTTTAAAAAGGAAGAAGTATTCTTGTTAAGAGACAAACCTCCAGGCTCCTCTGGACTCATTTATAACCCTGTAACTTCTAGGTGGAAAAAAATATTCTCCACTGCAATTGTTAATATGGATCCTGTGATACCAAAGAACTCCTTTGGATGTTTTCCTGACAGCACTGCAATGAAAATATGGTATGGACAGGTGTGGGGTGTGGATGATATTGAGCCTTTAAATGTCCAATAACATGCTTTTATAATCGTCTAGTGCTCCTTCTTGAGCCGGACTATGGCTGCCATCAATTACTTTAGTTGATTATTACCCTTGTCCACAAAGATGTTTGGCCTGGAATCTCTTTTGTTTCATCCCAAGGCTTTGAAGAAAAATAAAATGTAAGAGGATGACTTAGTGCCCAGGGAAGACTTGGTTTGCCTGTGATAACTTTTAAAATGGGCAGGAAAGGAGATCCTGTTTGGCAACGGTCTTCTTATCCCATCCTGGGTGTTCTGCCACCTAGATTAAATGATGAGAGGAGATCTGCTCCCCACATGGAATTTATTTGTGAAAAATTTAGTTCATTGCCTTCCATGCAAAGGAATTCGTCTGGACTGTACTTTTAGTAAAGATAGGGGGAAATGTAGATGCACCCTAGTTATTGTTACTTACTTACTACTCAGGATTATGCCAAGTAAGCTTTTCCTTCTTCATGGAGACCCAAATGTTGCCCAATTCCATTGCAAGACTACTGAGCGGAGGTGTTTTGCACCACCACATGATTAAAGAGCAAATGGCCACTCCTGACTCTGGATGTAAAGTGACTATTTAAGAGATCGATGTTACTGATGTTCTAAGGTGCTTGTTTGTTCTTCCTGGATCCTAGCAAGTACATACTGTTTGTCTATGCTGGCCTATGACTGTGGTCAAGTCAATTAAGAAATGGATGTGTTAGGTGACAATTTTAGCATGGATGGCTAGCTCTATAATTGTTCAACCTCTTTTATAGAAGGTTACTTTTTTAAAAGTTCAAATTTGTATGTACATACATATATTTAATACAATATGTATTATCCTTTCTATAAATATGTATCAATGCCTTGGAGAGGCTGGCCTATAGTTTCATTCTTAACCATGCACAGTTGCACACTGCACACAATTATATATTTGAGGAATTCAACATTTAAAGATGTAGTTTAGCCCTTCCTTTCTTTTATTGTGGAAATAGTAAAGTATTTTTACCGCTGTACAGTTAGCCCTGAGTGGTCACAGAGATTCTGTTCCGTTGAGGGGTATTAGGGTACAGAGCCTATGGTTATCCCCTTCCTGCCACAGGTACTTCCTCCCTGTTCTTTCTATAGCGGTCACGTGGGCAGTATGCTCTATTTGCTTCTCCTTCGCGTTGCTTAGTCATGGCAAATTCCGCTAGATCGGCCCAGTTGCAAGACTCCACATGGCTTTCTTGCTGTAACTGCCCTTCTTCAGAGTGATTTGCTCAGTTAATGATGAAGGGAGTTGCCTCTCCTGAACCACTAATGCTGACTTTTCCAGTTCATGTGGCTCTTTCATTATCTTGGTGGAGGGATCTATTATTTATAGCATTTATATGGCCACCGAATCACAAAGTGATTCTGGGTGGCATATAAGAAGCCAATTACCAAGGGAAACCAACACAGTACACTACATTAAAAGTCAGTTGAAACTTAAAATGGCAACCAGGCTAAAATACACTGCAACTCAATAATTGGGACTCCAATCATCAGTACCCAAAGGCTGAGGGAAAGCCAGGTCTTGACTGATTTTCTAAAGGCCTGCAGGGTCAGGGCCAGCCATGTACTAGGGGCAGATTGTTCCAAACGGCAGGGGCTGCCACCAAAAATCATGCCTCCAAGGTCCCATGAGGTGGCATTGTCTCAGTGAGAGGCCTTGGAGTGTGCCCTCCCTACTGGGCCATGTGGGACGGACAGATACTTTAGGGAGGAGGTAGTCCTGTAAATAACCCAATACTGTGCCATGTAGGGCTTTACAGGTGATAAGCAGCACATTGAATTACCCCAGAAGTCCATTGGGAGCCACTGCAGCTCATAGAATAGAGGTGTCACATGAATAAAGGAACACCCATAACTCTCTGCGCTGCTGGATTCTGGATCAATTCAAGCTTCTGCCCTTCTTCAAGGGCAGCCCCATGTAAAGATTGTTGCAATAATCCAGATGACAAAGGCATGAGTGATTGAGCAGGACCCTTCAATCCAGGAATAGATGCAATTGGCACACAAGTCAAAATTGTGCAAGCCCCCCCCCCAAGATACTAATGCTCCCTGAAGATCACTTGTGGTGATCTCTCAATCATGCTGCTGGACAGCAGTACTTCTTACAGTGATCTGAGTGATCAGAAAGTCCACTGGCACAGTCAAGAGGGCATTATGTCAAGAACATGAAAGAGCGATGTAGAGTGGAGAAACCAGCATAAGCCACATGCTATGAGTGTGGCAGCTCTATCACCAACATGATGCTGTGCTGACCCAACAAGATCCACTGCAGCTAAGCAAGGGAAGGAGGAACAATGCACATAAATTGGGCACATGCTCTAACTGCAACCCTTAAAAATGCATGTTATGCATTTGCAGAAGTCCAAAAAAGGCCAGAACTGCAGTTATGCAAAACGGTATGCATATACAGTACAGAGGTCTGCTCTCTAATTATCAGTTGCGCATATGCAGAAGTGAGGATAATGAGATCTAATAACCTACACATGAGAATATATATTCCATCAGCTGCTGTTCCATTGTTAACAATATGAATTTGTTTTAGCCATTTTTTTGCTCTTGTTTGGCAAAGTAGAATACAGCAGATTTTTCAAAGAGTATAGTGAACATCTAGGTGCCGATTCTTTTCTCCCTGCCTGGCACCCAGGAACAGTATGTGTCTTAATGCAACATGAGAATGGGGAGGTTAGCTAATTTTCTCCCTGTGGTAGAACTCTGTATAGATCAGCAAACAATTTTCTTCCCAATAAAGGAAGGGAGAAAAAAAATCACGTGTGCACCAGTTGATTTCTCCAGTTTGTCTTTCAGAATTGCACACATCCTGTTATTTGTATAATTCTGACATCTCCCCATTCTGATTTGACTGTTTCAACTTCATTTCTTTCTGATTTCAGCAGCTGTAACAGCAGCTTGTTGCAGGATCCATAGCAGAGGAGCAAACATGATTGCCCCTAAAACAAGCTGTTAATGTCAGGCAATTGGAACTTGTGAGCCCCTGATGCTGCTGAACTACAACTCCCAGCAACTACAGCCATGTGGCAAGTGCTGAAGGATATTGGAGTACAGCTGAGGAATATCTAATAGCCAAACATTCACCAAAAAACTTAGAAAAAACTTGTCCCATAATCTAGTTCACAAACAAAAGCAATGCTGCATTTCTGCTTTTTGCTCAGTGATGGTAGTTGTTGTTATACCTGCCTCAAATTCAGCCCTACAAATTTCAGTCCCCCCCACCCACCTTTGATTAAATACTACTTTTCCTGCCCCAGTTGCCTTTTGGTTAAATATGTAGCTATTGGCTTTTCTTTCTTTTTATTGAATAACCTAAATGGAAGAATACTTCAGATTAATTGAACAATCAGTATTACTCTGAACATGAATGGATCCAGCAGCAAACTATTTGCTTTTTTTTCTAGAACTTAATTTTGGTTAGGGAGTAAAGTTTTTTAACTTCGTAGCTGGTTTTCTTTGTTCCTAGTCTAGTTCAGGCCATTCTGGATTTTTAAATGAAAGATATGAGCTGTCACAAAAATATGCTTTAGTACAGTAGTTATTTCCTCAGTATGTTTTGTAAGTAGATGGTTTTGATATGTACACCACTGATTTTCCAGAAGGTGGTGCTCTAAAACTATTATAGGAAAAGAAAACTGCGTGTTAGCTGACAAGAGTATGTCCAAGCTGTTTTCCTGTATCAAAATGTTTAAGACAGCCTGTTAAGTTTATGAATATTTTAATTAATAAATATTCTGCCTCATTGCGACACTCCCAACAAAACCTAACAAGACCCATTTTAATAAGATACAAAAATGAAACAGAATAAGAAAAAGCCAAGAATATAACGGCAGCATCTCATGATAAACTTTTGCATTTAAACTTTTCTTGTCAGAATGTATGTATCATTGGACTTTTTGTTAAACTAGAAAGATTCTTTTGAGGGCACCATATCATATTGCATTTAGGATACACCATCATTTATGTGGCAGTAATAACCAAGAGTCCAAATAGACATATTTAAGACATTTTAATGGAATTTTTATTGATGAGAATGACCCCGAAGCTTAATGTGTGTGTGTGTGTGTGTGTATGAATATGTGTGTGTACGTGTGTGTGTGTATATATGCACACATATGCATAAAAGATAGCATGCACAGTAGGGAGGGAGGAAAAGCAAGAAGAAACAAGAACGAGCTCTTTAAAGATGTTGTTTGGAAGTGGCTAATATCCAGCATAATGAAAAACAAGCTGCATTGATCTTCTTAGATGCAGAGAAGGCCTTTGACAATTTGAACTGGGCTTTCCTGTTCAAGGTTTTGGAAGATAAGAATTTTGGAGAGAACTTTATAAAATGGGTAAGATTGATTTACACTTCACAGAAAGCGCAAATAATTGTTAATGGAGATCTAATAAAAGCCTTTGAGATACAAAAAGGAACAAGACAGGGATGCCCACTGTCTCCTCTCTTGTTTATTTTGGTTCTTGAAATACTGGATAGAGATATAAGACAAGATGAGAGGATTGTGGGAGTAAAGATTAAAAAAGAAACTTTTAAGGGCTTTTGCAGATGACTTGGGGTTGGTTCTGGAAAATCCTTTAAAGGAAACTGAAATATTAATGGGCAAATTAAAGAAGTTGGTGCAAGATTAATAAACAGAAGATGAAGATGTTAACAAAAGTGTGAAAATAGAAGATCAAACAGAATTGATGAATAAAACAGGTTTTAAGGTTGAGAAGAAGGTAAAACACCTGGGTATCATTATGACAAATATGAATTGTATGTTATTTCAAAATAACTATGTTAAGGCATGGAAAGAAGTTAAAAATATATGTTAAGATAGGAGAAATTACAACTCTCATTGCTGGGGAGAATTTCTGTGATAAAAATCAATGTCTTACA